TACTTACACTTTTTAAACCTCGCAGTTGTTCCACATCTGCCTCGAGAGTTCGGGCTGTTCAAAGCCAGCGCAGCAGCAGCTGAGGTCCCCTCTGATGCCCTGCGGGCACTGCTGCAGCAACTGGGTTCTTCAGGGGATGACCCCATCACAAGCTATGCGACTGTCCCCTCCCATCCCACACACACACACAGCCCAAAGTGCAAAAAAAGCTGGGTAACTTCATACCAGCAGCAATTAGTACCAGCATTTCGAACAAGGAAAGGCCTTGCTGCCCTTACTCTGGGTGCCCTGGGTGCCCCACGCCTGGTCGCTGCATGCATTGCTCCCAGCCCCAGCTGTTGGGATTTGCTGTGGCGGGGCCAAAGAGTGAAGGCCAGGCTGGACTGGGGCCTGTGGTGGACGCAGGTGCCCTGTGGAGTTGCTGGCTGTAATGTATTAGTGCTCCTAGGATAGTTTCCCATCAAATGGATAGAATTTTTGTGGACTTCTGCGAGTTCTTCTCCCCTGAGTATAAGACATTATTTCTTGCTTCCTTCCCTCTCTGCCTGAAGTTGAATATACTCTTTTCTTACCTACCAACATTGGTATTCCAATTAATATACTTGTTAGAAACAACAGAGTTAAATTGAGCATGATTTTTGTACAGTCTTACCTTCTCTTCAGATTCAATTTTTTTTGTATACTTTCTGGTTTTTTTCGAGGAGTCTCATACAAATACAGATTAAAGTGGTGTTCCTTTAAAAAGAGAGAACAAAATTGGTATTAATGATTGCACCTGTAGAGAAGAAAGGTGGGAGCAAACCAGGAGGCAGAACTGATAAAAGGCTGCTATGTGCACTTGCCTGTCCTGGAAAGGGGAGGGGTGTTAAGCTTCCTAGGCTAAGAGTGGAGATGAGAGGTAAAGGTGAAAATGGAGTCTCCACAGTGTGAGCAGGGGATCACAAAGGTCTCTCTAGCTGAGATTCTGAGGTGTTTTGAACATCCTATAAGTGAGGAGCAAGCCTGGGCTCTCTGCTTTCAGTGTTGCTGTAAAATGGAGCAGTTGGCTCAGGGGCTGTGCCCACCTCTCCATTCTGTATTCATAAAAGGTCCTGGAAGCATCTTTATTCATGCTGATGGTACTGCTTCCTTCAAGGTGTACCACAAATCTGGTAAGAGCATAGGTAGCTGTGGATGCCAAGGGCTGTTCCTATAACAGTCTGAAAGGTGGGACAAAATGGGGATTCTACACCCCCTCCCACCCGTATGTTGTTACAAAGCTGTTCTGCTGCCTATACTTCATTTCAAAGGACTATAGATAAGTGGCAATACAGATGTACAACCTACTGATTTTTCTAGTAGTGCTCTAATGAGTCATTTGCTTCTAGGGAATAGCTGGGATGAAAGTTTGTTGCCACTTATGTTATTTGAAAGAAATAGTCTGAGGCTTTATTGTATGTCCTGCTCTGTTCATCTTCCAATGTATGGTTCCTTTGTTATAGTAACTCTTACAACAGATTTATGATTGACAGTTCCCCTTTTTTGTAACTGTGTAGCCAGCAAATGGCAAGAAGCTTGTCTTGTGTACCACTTGGTTGCACTGCTGCCGAGGTCAATGCTAGGCTAACTCTTCAGGGACAAGAGTAGGTAATAAAGAATGAAGACAAAGATCCAGTGCCTTCCTTGTGGTTGGAAATCTATTAGCAATCAAAAAAAAGCACTCAGCAGAGGTTAGTTTGGGGCTGATGCTCACAATAAGAAGAGTATCCTGTGTTGCTTTCCAGGAGTCCCCAAACGTAGGCCTACTTTCTCCAGGCGGGACTGACCTTAGTCAGAGGGGTTTGTTTCCTTATTACCAAGAATTCTTCCTGTTTCTCTCTCTCTCTCGACACAGAGATTCTAATCCCTCCACAGAGGGATTTTAAAAGCTGTTTATCAATGCCGATGCAGTTATCTTTCTCCCCCTCCCCTCTTTCTTCCCTTTCAGATATTGGCAGCATTCAGCAGTCAGAGGACAAGGTAAGCCTGTGTGTGTCTTCACCTTCATTATGTGTGCAGATGTAATCCTGCTGTAGTAGAAGGCCAGCTCAGGAGATGCAGATGTCTTTGGAAACTATCAAGGTGCTTACATTTGCTGTGCCCTGTGAGAGTGACTCTGTCCCCTGCAATCTGGAAAATGAAACAAAATGCTAGGACTGAACTCAAGTAAGACAATGGGACTGGGAAACAATGTGCACAGATGCTGCCTACTGTGGAATAGCCCACAGACTTTTCATCTTATTAACAGATAACTTAGAGTCCATTTTAATATCTTAAACCATCTTATTTAGGGAGTATCTCAGGCTATCTGATGAATGTCTACCTATCTTTTGGGCCCTTCTCATCCTGAGAGGTGTGCTCGGCCCTGAGGGGCAGTGGAGTGGCTGGGAAGTGAGAGCTATGAAATTCCCCACAACACTTTGTGCTGCACTGCTCCCTTGGTCTCTGTCTGCAGCTGTTGGAGTACTTGGGAGTGGTGATCTATGAAGCCCTGGACTGGGGAATCGACAGCCAAGTGGAGCGAGAACTGAGTGATCCTTTGGAGAAAATGCTGTGCCTCATGTTGAAACTGGATGATGAGGCATTGAAACCAGCAATCACCCTGCAGGATGTTATCAAGGTTTCCTTCTTCTCACTTAGTAAATTCAGCAGCTTTAGAGGAGTTGAGTGAACAATGTTGTTACCCCAAGGGGCAAGACCATTTCTGGGAAAAGCCTGGGTAGCTTGTTGGAGAACATAGAGGAGCACATGGCTTTCCCATCAGAGGAAAAAGGCAAAACCATCTTAGGTGCATACGAGTGCCTATGGAAAAGAATTAAGAAGGAATACTGAGCATGACTCTCATACAGCTGTGTCTACAAAATCCTTCAGTATATAGTCTCCAAATTTGATACCTAGAAGACTATGGATATTGAAAAAGTCACTTGTCCATAGTATTCAATTTCTGCAAGAGCTGGGATTTGAATGTCTCAACTCAAATGAATATTTTCCTCTTAACCATAATTTAAAGGTATGAGAAACTTCCCATCCCTCAGTCTGATCAGGGCAGGAGGAAAGAACAGAGCAAGTGACTCCACCTGCTGTGAGTTTTTTTGTGCTTTGTCTGCACTGGAGTCTTCCCCTTCCTCATGCTTATTTCAAAGCACACCTTATGGAGAACAAGATACATAAATTACACAGCTACTTACATTATTGTATATATGAGATTGGACATCTTGCTGCTCTGTTTGTCTGTATCTGTAATTGAAAAAAAAAAGCTACAAAGGGTCTGTAAGGATGATGCTTTTTAACCATGAATTGAGAAAACAATCTTGCTTTCTTCCATCCTACCAGGTTTTTTCATTTAAAGATCTCTTTTAAATAGTTGCACTTCTTTCAGGCCTGTGAGGAGCACTTGTCCAGGCCTTCTGAGGCTACCAGCCATTATGAAATGACCTGTAGGAGTCTGTTTACTGAATATATGGAACTTCAGAAGCTTGTGACAATCATCCAGACCTCCAAAGAGGTACATTTGGGATCACCCCTTAGCTGCTATTCCCTCTGCGTTCACACACTCACCTAGTTCTAAAGTAGCCTTCCCATTGCACTAGAAATGGAGTTCCTAGCTGAAAGTCTAATTTCATGATGTGAAAGGCTACTGTCTCGGCACCATATTAGTAATTTATTGTAGCTTTTGGAAGTTTGGGTGTTTGGGGCTTTAGGCTTTTCAGGTTAACATCAGTAATTTATACTGGATAGATAGGAAATCACTGAACAGTGCAAGGTAATGACCTCATGTGCTTGCTTCTCAGAGTCTGAGAAAAATGGATGTGGAAGATTTGGTGGAAAATCCCCTTCAGAAGAAGGAAAAACACTGGGTAAGGGATTTAAGCCCTTCTGTTATAGGGATTTGAGGGTTTTTCTCTGCCTTGGCTCTCTGAGGCTTTCCATTGACTCTTCTATGAAAAGCAGAGCTTGAACACAAATGAAACTTCTTAGGTTGTTTAAGAGCTTAAGTAGTTAAAGACTTGTCTGCAAAACAGGTGGGGAGTGAACTTGAAGTTAAACTATTTCATGTGTTAACTTCACGTGGGCTTTTATTCTACATGAAGATTGTCCTTGTGGTTCAACCACTTCTAAAAATGAAGTTGGAGGCAATCTTTGGAGTAAACATCCACAAGTAGTTACTCAGGCTGTTTCTTCCTGCAAACAAGCCCCAAACTCCAGCTCTTGGCAGGAACTGACACCTGCCAAAAGCAATATATTCCATTCTTGTAGCTGGACTGAAAACTCGCAGAAAACTGTTCTGTTGGTGGTCGTACTGGGGTGGACTAGTTCACTCTTATTATGTGGAGTCTGTGCTGGTTCAGGGCTGGAGGGGACTGAAGGCCAGTAGCTCTGTCCATCTTTGTGGTTGTGCAGCTCCAGCAGCTCAAACGAAGGGGTGAAGGAGGGTGAGGCTGGAGATGTAGCTCCTACCTTCTGCTCACTGCCTTTCTTGTCTTTCCATTCTGTCCTTCCATAGATCTTGGACTTGTGTGTTTGGGGCAGAGAAAGCAACTTATTCTGTTCTTTTCAAGGCCCTACACAGTCAGGGCTGAATCAGAAACAAATAGCTCTTCTGGCTGGAACTCTGCCCAGCATAAACAAATGCACTGTAGTCTGGAGTCTGTGGAGACAAACGGCAAGCCCCAAGAGACTTGTGGACTCGCTCCCTTTGTCTAAATAGCACTTACTTTGAAGCGTGCTCAAACTATTCGTATGAAAAAGTTTGTGAAATGTGTGTTTGGGCATATTCTCAATTTTGTGATCTATTAAAATAAACTGGCAAGCTATCTCAAACCACAGACTCATCAACTGCTATAGCTCTTTTCTGCAGGGAATACATGAATAAATACATGGGCTTTGCTGTGTGGCCTGAAGGCCAGTGTATTTGGCCTCTGCTCCTTCAGGAGATGTGAATTCCAAAAGCAGGATGTCTGTTGCAAATTCTCTGCCTCTAGTTTCCAAACCCATAAGCACCAGTTGATTGCATCGCTCTGACAAACTCTTGAGTCTAAAATAACCAAGATGCCAGCTTCACTGGGATCCCAGATTAGAGCTGATTCCTTGAGTGGTGCCAAGCAGCTAATGCTCTCCATGGGCCACACTGTTTCAGGTTGACGGCTATGTTTCAGAAGGCCTGTTTTGTAGACCACAGCCTGATAGCGTGCAGGGCTGTACAGTTTCAGCAGAGCTTATCTGTACATGTCACAAGACAATCTTCACCTTGAAATCTCAGCGGTGAGACCTCTTAGGAACACAGCTGTCTTACCATTCATCTGTTGAACCAAATGCAATGGGTTTGGAATGTTGTAGCATTTTGTGTTATATTGCACAGGTATGGGAAGTTTATGTGGACCTTGACAACACATGGGATGGCCCAAGTAGAATAATTGCAGTGATCCAGTAGAAAAGTATGGGTGATAATGATGTCACCTACATCTGAAAAATGTTTTGGGTGTACAAGTTGCTCTGAAATGGCCAGTTGAAGGCAATTCTTGTCCCAAAACTAATGTGGCAACATTACAGTACAGAAGTCTCTCTTTAGGTCCTCTCTTTCAGTCAAGTTCTGTTGCCATGTGAAATCACAACTCTAGAAAGTGCAAATGGCTCAGAAGAAGCTATTTCAAAGGTCTCTAATACTGATAAGTTTGCCCAGAGACTTTTGTGTGTTCTCCTATGCAATAATAAATATAGCCTAGGAGATACAGCTAGTATGTGGTGGCTCTTTGACAGTTCTAGCTCTCTGGAATTGAGGTATGACTGTACCAAAGCCAGGCTAAAGTGATCCAACAAAAAAAATCAGTCTCCTTGAAGGCAGCCAGCAGTCAGAGCTTGCGTAAGACTCTTCTGATGTTGTACCAAGATATCTGAAGGGATAAGTTGAGAGAAGATGCTTCATACTGTAAGTGGAAAAGGGAGAGGAGTCTAAGTCAGAAACTTTGGTTTGAGGCAGTTCTCTAAAATGTTTTGCTTCCCTTTCACTGTTTATAATACAATCACTTGTTCTTACTCGATTTGCCTTTGGGATCCAGATAAGCTGTTGACTTAGCACTTCCATTACAATGTTGTCTAAACATGCTATTGAGTTGATTATTTTTTTTCCTGTCTTTAACTTTTGTTGAGTTATACTGCATGCCTGAGCATCCTCAGATATTAATCCAGGAACAGGATGAGCAGATGTCAGAGTTACCAGCTTGTGTCTTCAGGATGAAACTGCTAACGTTTGCTGCTGTGAAGGTTAAAGTAGGAGATCCCTTTCCCCTTGTCTTCCTCTTTTGTCTGTGGGCACTTCAGCCCTTGGTTTCTGAAAGTTCAGAAAATTTTAATGGTAAGATTTGGGATTTCATTCCCAATGTTTCCTAGGATCTGATAATATGAAAAAACTCTGGCACCTGGAGCACTTACAGGAAGTAGGCATTTAAGAAAATGGGTCTAGCTACATGGCAGCAGAAGCTGTGTTCTGCTGAAGTATGTTCACAAAGTTCATGACAAAATTTGGCAATAAGCCTGGTGAGCCAGCTCCCAGATCCCTCATAAATTAACTTCTTCAAAGAAAGGCAGTTCTCTGCTCTGGTACTGTGTCCTGATCTGGAAGTGAGTTGAAAGGGGGTGTTAAGGACATACTTGTGTGTTTCTGAATGACTTCAGTTGCTAAGTGTGCTCCATTACATGGAGGGAGGGGATGCTGCTCCGTGTGTTCTAGCCAGCTGTTGACTTGGCCCTCACTGGTTTCTCCAAGGCATCCCTGTGGCCCAGTGTCATCCATGAACTGCAGAATGGTGTGAGGCTGCGCAAGGCCACTGAGCGACCACAGAGTCACGTGCCTCCAAAAGAATGTGTGTGCTCTCCCTATGAATTACTTTTGGATGATATTCAGCACAAGAGGTACACCCTTCGGAAGGTGAGTGACTAGAGTCAACGGACAACTTTGAAAGCACCTGCTTTACTTCATTTCTAAGCAATATTTGTTGAGACCTCTTCTCCAAAAGCCTTTCTCAAAGGTACTTCCAAGTCCAGAAGTATCTGAGTCTCCCTCTCATCTGCAGATGAACATTAAATCACCCTGTTAGTCCACCCAAGTGCTTCATTTCCAATAACTTTTTAAGTCAGGGGTAGCCATGCTTTCATGAAGCTGGATGGTAAATATTTTCTCCCTCCAGGGGTCAGCCACTCCCTTCCCTAGACCAATTACACTGGCTTGCACACCAGTTTCATGAAACAGACTCTTACCTGCTTATGCTCTCCACCTCAGACACTTGTGTCCTCTCAGGCTCCTTGAGCTGAGCTATGCCTGGCATCTCTTACTAGTTTCCTTGCCTTCCCAGAAGTTGTGGGATGAGTGCAAGTGGAAAAGCACTTTTGCTCAGTCCCAGGCAGAGGCCTCTAGGCAGCGTATGAGAGCTACTGCAGGAGTTTGTCAGGGTAAAAAAACCAAGGTGAGCACTGTCCAGGGGCAGCTGCAGGGCTGACTCAAGTGGCAGGGGCTTCCAGCAATGTGGGTAGTTGGTGAAGATGACCAGATACAAAAATGTCTGGGGTGTCTCTAAAGGCTTGTAATGCTCTTTGCTTGCTGCAGCTTGAGCTAGGAATGATGAGCAGATCTAAAACATTGGCATAAGGCTTTGTGGCATTGGTGTGCTTTGCAAACAGACGTCTTGGCAGAAGATGAGACACAACTCTATTTGTAATAAAGAGCAATATTTTAAAAAGTGAAAACTTTGCATACCACAGTAGATGTCAGCTTTTTTTATTTCTCCTTGTTGGTGCTGCTACAGTGCAGGGGGTTTAAAAGCCTCAACTAAACTGTGCACCTTTATAAAATCCCAGCTCTTGCTTGTCTTGACTGTGACTCCAGCCTTCAGATAAGGCTATGACATTTCTCTGGAGATGATATCTTGATTGATATATAAATGAATAGTAGTGGAAAGGAAACAATATGTAATAACTACTTGTGTTCCTGTAATGTACTGTGTAGTACAGAACCATAACTCAAGGTGGCAGGATGAACTGGGACTTGATTTTATATTTTTCATTCTTTTTTAAAAAAAAGTTTTTCTGCTGCTGCTGAGAAGCACATTTGAAGAGTAGTAGTCAGAAATGCTAGAAGAAAGTATGGAGTGCTACTGCTCAGGTCTTTGTGGAGACTCTTAAACGAGGCTTTCCCCATCTGCAAAGCTATTTGAAAGCTTCTGTAGAAAACAGTGGTCTAATTTGCAAATGAATGAAAGCACAGCTAGTGTGGGAAGCTGTAGTGTTGTTCTACCTGCATTCCCACGTGTTCTGAAGTTGTACACACAGGGAAAGTAAATGGCATAGCCTCAAAGTAAGAATAAGTGAACAAAGCAGCTAAAGACATGCATGTGCAACTTGACTTTTTTGTCAGTTCTCCACTACAGAGCAAGCACAGGGCTTGATGAGAGAGACAGTCTGCCCTATGTGAATACCTGCCTTGCAATTCTATCTTGCTGTTGTTCCTAGTTTATGCAGGGCTGTAAACCAGTCGCTAGGACTCTAGCTTATGCATACAGCTGCCTGCTGCTACAGTTCTTGTTAGAGTCTTGTTAACTCATTCAGTTACTCTCCTCCCTGGAGCTGAGTTCTCACTGATGAATGTGATGTGACCATGGTGCTTGTCAGGATCACACCTGACACTAGAATCTAAGTACAACGTTTTCCATTGGCTTCTCAGAGCAGTTCATGATCTGCTGGGGCTAGAAGGCTCTGTGCTTCTTGTGGAAGCCTCAAAGGGCTGTGCAGCACTTCTGATTACCTCGTCTACCAAAACCCCACCTAAGTAAGCCTCATCATTCTACATTTCCCACCTCAGTTTTGGTATGCTTTCCCCACCTCCCCCATCCCCAAATCCTGACTTGAGTCATTCACTGTGCAACTGAATGGGAGGGTGTTCCAGGAGCAGAGGAAGAACTATTGCTTAAGCATCATTTCTGCTCTTTCAGGTGATCATCGAGCAAAAACGCAGGACCCCCACAATTGATGTAGCTGCTCCCAAGCCTCATCTAAAGCCTGTAGGTAACCTAGTGCTGCCTCTAATGATAGCAAAACAAGATGATTCTGGAGTTGACAGGACAGTTTATAGGAATATAGAGCTAATGTCTTAGCTACTGCTTTGGATTTGGGAGGGGGATATATTAACCATACTTAACTTCTGGGCAGTCCCTCCTGCCAAAACATGAGGTTAGGAAAATGGGAGGTGACATCTTCATAGGAGAAAGATGATCAATGTCTCTATTTCCCCCACTGCTTCTTCCATTGGGAACATTTTGTGGTCCTGAAAGTACTCCTGGAGTTCTCTGTTTCAAATTTGAGAGTTGCTAAAGTATTCTACTATGCGTTATCTAAAGGTTCTGTCATGTATCTCTCATGTGCCGGGCCCAGTGCTCTCTTGAGTGAGAGCATTTATAAAACAGTGCCATTGCTGAAGGAGTAGTTCTGTCACCAGTGGTCTCCTTGCTCTGTCCACTGGCTCTTTCTGGTGCTATGCTTTGCCTGCAGGTGCTAGAGAGGAGGCTGAAAGAGT